CAGGACCAGAGACTCTGAGGACCAGGACCAGAGACTCTGAGGACCAGCCAGAGAAGATCCATACTGGTTGACCTCTAAATCAGATGTTTACCCAGAATGCACTGCAGCAAACAGCTGCTCCAGCTGTCAGCACGATGGAGGACGCTGGTGGTCTGGGCTCCTTCTGACACGGAGTGGACCAGAACTCCTCTGGAGACCAAAGGTTCTAGTCCAATCCAAGCCCAAACTGGGTCCAACAGGACCATGATCCCAAACACAGCAGCTGGTCTACAACAGAACGGGTCAGAACCAAAGTGCTGCAGAGGTCCAGAACCTGAATCTGTCTGTGGTGGACCTTCAGAGAGCTCAGCAGAACCCCAAAGAACTGAAGCAATAAAGAACCGAGTCCATCCAGGTGAGTTTGGTACCTGTCTGCTGGGAGAGCTGCTGCTCCTCTGGTTCCTCTGGTTCCTCTGGTTCTTCTCCCCGCTCCTGGCTCTGCAGGTCTGAGATCCAATGAAACCAGACCTGATCCATGCTGCAGCTTCAGATAAACTAGAAGAAGCCGTCTGGCTCCGACCACTCACCTCCTCCGTGCAGTCGGAGCCGAGGCTGCAGGAGCTCCAGCTGCCTCCTCTGCCGCTGCACCTCCTGCCTCAAGCCCGCAGCCTCCTGCTCGTAGTCGGCCACGGTCCTCTCCACCACCGCCAGGATCTCCCGGGCGGCTGTGCTCAGCTTCTCGGTGATGATTCCTCTCAGGATGTCGCTCTTAGAGACGCTGCGGGACAACATGATTCTCTTCTTCTGTTTGGTCGAAAACTTCGGTCCCTTCGTCCAGCGATCTACTTCCGGGTCAGGGTGCAGCGAGCAAAAGCGTCCGGGTGGAAACAGACGAAATTCACCGCCATTCATGTTCGATGAAGTGGAATTTAAAAAAGTAAAAATTAAACATTTTGACCAAGTTAACAGTCAGTTTCCTCTCTGTCAATATCAACATAAATATCCTGTTTCTAGATCGATATTGAGTCAAATATTTTAACTGAGAGCCACAGCCCTGTTTGACTTCTCAGACTTTCTTCATGTAGTTTATTTAAAAAGTCACTTTATTTAATGTATAAAGATGTTCCAGTGTAGGAACGAGGGCTGCGTGGATCTGTTCTTGACACCATCAAACATGGATTAATTTGCCAACAAAGATGTTCCAGTCTCACACATGAAAACTTCTTGTCAGGTTTCCACCAACAGGGTTGACAACAGTCCCATAAAAAATGGAATGTCCCGTATTTAGAAACAAAAGTACGCGTTCCGTATTGAGCTGCAACAAGACGCACTTTGTCCCATATTATCATGAAAATAAAAAAAACATGTCCATGTCGATGGGGCGCTGTATATGGGATTCAAAAAAACGTTCAATACAAAAACAACTGGGCTTTATTTGTAACAGAAGACGTTTCGCTCCTCATCCGAGAAGCTTTCTTAATTCAAAGGAGTGAGTGAGGGGTTCATCTTTAAATCACTTCTTGGTCTGCTGCCTTCATACATCTCCTCCTACATGTCTCTGTGTGAGTGCAGCTACAGCGTGCGCTCTCGGGACATCATTACCTGCAGTGTTCCCTCAGTGAGGACTGAACTAGACAAAAGGACCTTCTCCTACTCCGCTCCTGTTTCCTGGAATATCTTGTAAAAAGATCTGAAGCTCTCGACCTTTGACCTCTCTAAGTGGCTTTAAGAATCTGTTGGACTCCTGGCAGGGACCAATGCAGACATGTTCCTGTTTTTAGTTTTTTATATTGAATACTATGATGAGAAAAAGAAATGGACTTGATATCCTGATGCATGCTCAATAATCCCATAAATGGACTTGAAGTTCCCTCGCCCGGACGTGGGTCACAGGTGCCCCACTCTGGAGCCAGGCCTGGAGGTGGGGCACGTGGGAGAGCGCCTGGTGGCCGGGCTTTTACCCATGGAGCTCGGCTGGGCACAGCCCGAAGAGGAGACGTGGGTCCCCCTTCCCATGGGCTCACCACCTGTGGGAGGGGCCAAAGGGGTCGGGTGCAATGTGAGATGGGTGGTGGCTGAGGGCAGGGACCCTGGCAGTCTGATCCTCGGCTACAGAAGCTGGCCATTGGGATGTGGAATGTCACCTCACTGGTGGGGAAGGACCCTGAGCTGGTGTGTGAGGTTGAGAGGTTCCGGCTAGAAATAGTCGGACTCACCTCAACGCATGGCTCTGGAACCAGTTTCCTTGAGAGGAGTTGGACACTCTTCCACTCTGGAGTTGACCCTGGTGAGAGGCGCAGAGCAGAATTGGGCATACTTATTGTCCCCCCCATCTTGGTGCCTGTGTGTTGGGGTTCACCCCGGTGAATGAGAGGGTGGCCTCCCTCCGCCTACGTGTGGGGGGATGGGTTCTGACTGTCGTTTGTGCTTATGCACCAAATGGCAGTTCAGATTATCCACCCTTTTTGGAGTCCTTGAAGGGGGTACTGGAAAGTGCACCTCCTGGGGACTCCCTTGTTCTGCTGGGGGACTTCAATGCTCACGTGGGCAATGACAGTGAGACCTGGAGGGGTGTGGTTGGGAGGAACAGCCCCCCTGATCTGAAACCGAGTGGTGTTCTTTTGTTGGACTTCTGTGCTCATCATGGATTGTTCATAACGAACACCATGTTCAAGCATAAGGGTGTCCATATGTGCTCTTGGCACCAGGACACCCTAGGCCGCAGTTCGATGATCCGACTTTGTCGTCGTCTCATTGGATCTGTGGCCACATGTCTTGGACACTCGGGTGAAGAGAGAGGCGGAGCTGTCCACTGATCACTACCTGGTGGTGAGTTGGCTCCGATAGTGGGGGAAGATGCCGGTCAAACCTGACAGGCCCAAACGTATTGTGAGTGTTTTCTGGGAACGTCTGGCAGAGTCTCCTTTGAGACGGAGCTTTAACTCCCACCTCCGGGAGAACTTCGAACATGTTTCGGGGGAGGTGGGGGACATTGAGTCCGAGTGGACCATGTTTCGTGCCTTTATTGTCGAGGCGGTTACCGGAGCTGCGGCTGCAAGGTCGTCGTGCCTGTCGCAACGGCAACCCTCGAACCCGGTGGTGGACACCGGCGGTGAGGGATGCTGTCAAGCTGAAGAAGGAGTCCTATCGGGCCTTTTTGGCCTGCAGGACCCTGGAAGCAGCTGATGGGTACCAGCAGTCCAAGCGACATGTGGCTCGGGTGGTCGCTGAGGCAAAAACTTGGACATGGGAGGAGTTCGGAGAGGTCATGGAGAATGACTTCTGCATGGCTTTGAGGTGATTCTGGTCAACCATCTGGCATCTCAGGGGGGGGGAAGCGGTACACCAGCAACACTGTTTATAGTGGGAGTGGTGTGCTGCTGACCTCAACTCGGGATGTTGTGGGTCGGTGGGCGGAATACTTTGAAGACCTCCTCAATCCCACCGGCACATTTTCCACTGAGGAAGCGGAGCCTGGGGACTCTGGGTCGGGCCCTCCAATCTCTGGTGCTGAGGTCACCGAGGTGGTTAAAAAGCTCCTCGGTGGCAGGGCCCCAGGGGTGGATGAGATTCGCCCGGAGTTCCTTAAGGCTCTGGATGTTTTAGGGTTTTGTTGGCTTACGCGACTCTGCATTATTGAGTGGACATCGGGGGAAGTTCCCCTGGATTGGCAGACCGGGGAGGTGGTCCCCCATTCAAAAAGGGGGACCGTAGAGTGTGTTCCAACTACAGGGGGATCACGCTCTTAAGCCTCCCTGGTAAGGTCTATTCAGGGGGTTCTGGAGAGGTGGGTCCGTCGGATAGTCGAACCTCGGATTCAGGAGGAGCAGTGCGGTTTTCGTCCTGGTTGTGGAACACTGGACCAGCTCTACACTCTCAGCAGGGTCCTGGAGGGTGCGTGGGAGTTTGCCCAACTGGTCTACATGTGCTTTGTGGACTTGGAGAAGGCGTTCGATAGCGTCCCTCGGGGAACCCTGTGGGGGGGTACTTTGGGAGTATGGGGTACCGGGCCCTTTGATAAGGGCTGTTAGGTCCCTGTATGACTGGTGTCAGAGCCTGGTCCGCATTGCCGGCAGTAAGTCAGGCTTGTTCCCGGTGAGAGTTGGATTCCGCCATGGTTGCCCTTTGTCACCGATTCTGTTCATAACTTTTATGGACAGAATTTCTAGGTGCAGCCAAGGTGTTGAGGGGATCCGTTTTGGTGGCCTCAGGATCACATCTCTGCTTTTTGCTGATGATGTGGTCCTGTTGGCTTCATCAGATCGTGATCTACAGCTTTCGCTGGAGCAGTTCGCAGCAGAGTGTGACACGGCCAGGATGAAGATCAGTTCCTCCAAATCCGAGGCCATGGTCTTGAGCCGGAAAAGGGTAGAGTGCCCTCTCCGGGTCAGGGAGGAGGTCCTACCTCAAGTGGAGGAGTTCAAGTATCTTGGGGTCTTGTTCACGAATGAGGGAAAAAAGGAGCGAGATCGATAGGAGGATAGGTGCAGCGTCTACAGTGAAGCGGGCGCTGTACTGGTCTGTCGTGGTGAAGAGAGAGCTGAGTCAAAAGGTGAAGCTCTCAATTTACCGATCGATCTACGTTCCCACCCTCATCTATGGTCACGAGCTTTGGGTTGTGACCGAAAGAATGAGATCTCGGATACAAGCGGCTGAAATGAGTTTTCTCCGCAGGGTGTCTGGGCTCTCCCTTAGAGACAGGGTGAGAAGCTCGATCATCCGGGAGGAAATCAGAGTAGAGCCACTGCTTCTCCACATTGAGAGTAGCCAGTTGAGGTGGCTTGGGCATCTGTTTAGGATGCCTTCTGGACGCCTCCCTGGTGAGGTGTTCCAGACACGTCCCACCGGGAGGAGACCCAGAGGAAGACCCAGGACACGCTGGAGGGACTATATTTCTCGGCTGGCCTGGGAACGCCTCGGGATTCCCCCGGAGGAGCTGGACCAAGTGGCTGGGGAGAGGGAAGTCTGGGCCTCCCTACTTAGGCTGCTACCCCTATGACCCGACCCAGGATAAGTGGAAGAAAATGGATTATAATGTTGATGTTTTTTGTTACTTTTTTAGCCATCTTATTTGTAAAAAAAAAAAATCTGTATGCCTTTTTATAACCGTCCATTGTTGTCATCTTTCTTTGTTGAAATCAGGTCTCTCTTGTAAATGAGTCCTCGAGGGTCAATGGGATTTACCTGTAGAAATAAAGGTTGAATGAAATAAGGCTGAGTGAGATAAGATGCACATACATATGTAGATTGACAATTCACACCTCAGCACCTTAACAGTAGGGGCTTCTTAAGGTCTTTGTTCCTCTAATTCACAGATGAGGCCCCTCTGTTCCCATCAGGTGTGAAAACTGGCTGGGAATCAGTTTTTATCAAATCAATCAATTTTTATTTTACTGGGGTGGGGGTGGCTGTTTATTGCTTTCATGATTCAATCCAACAAAATAAACACATTTAACAAAATAAACATGTTGAAAAGTTAACAGATCATTGTAATACTTGGTTCTTTGTCCTCTCAGTCCATGGAGATGTAGCTCCGAGTCACTTCACAAGTCGTCTCAGGTCTGCACAAAAACAGACTTTATAAAAGACGAGTACTGAAGTTGTCCATGAGAGGAAGCAGCAGAGTTGACTCTTCACTTCATCAGTCTCTCATCCTGAGTTGGGTCTGAGACCAGAAAACCAACAAGCTGAAACAAACTTCATGAAGAACAGGGAGAAGAGGAGGAAGAACAAAACGAAGAAGACGAAGAGAACAAAGAAGACGAGGAAAAAGAACAAGAAGATGAAGAACAAGATTTTTTTTAACAAAACTTTATTTACACAATAATTTAACACCACAGTGTTAAAAATGTGATGAGGACAAGCTTAAAATAAAATCTTTACACGAGGAGCTTGTTGTATTGTAGTTGTCCCTGATCAGAAGAACAAGATGAAGAACAAGAAGACAGAGGAAGAAGACAAAGAAGAAGAATGTAGAGTAAATTCAAACTTGTGCACCGACTCTGGTTTTGAACGTCCTTGAAGCTGGAAGTTGAAGAGTTGTTCCACCTTCACTGGAAACAGATTCAGTGAAATCATTTTAATTCTGACGTCCACGATGAGGAGAGAAACTCCAGAAAGTCCGTGCATCGAACAATCAACTGGACGTTAAAACACCGAAACACAAAAGATCAGGAAGTTTAAACACGACAAGACGGCAGCAGTCAAAATATACGAAATTTATTGGAATGGGTTAAAAATGTTTAAAAGCAGAACGTTCAGGACAAGAACTGTTCTTTAAGTTTAAAACATCAGCCGAACGTCTAAAGTTCTAACTGGCATGAAAACAATAAAGTCTAAAAAGCAACAAATATAAAAACATCTCGACAGAACTGGTGAATCAGCTAAAACCAGTGAATCAGCTAAAACCAGTGAATGAGACAAAAACGTGAGAATCCACCTAAACTCGTGTAATCGTTTATAAATACACGACAGTCCTTTAAATGTGAGTCTACAGAACCCAAGGAACCCCCCAGGAAGTCCTTCCAGAGGAGTCCACCCTGGAGTTTAAAGAGAAAGTGACTGTATGAACCATCAGAACCGACACCTGATGCAGGACAACCAGCAGAACCACGCCGACAAACAGGAGCTAAAACTGTCACAATGCCCGAAAACACCTTCAAAGGTTCCTTCAAAGCAGCCAGAACTTCCCGTCACCTTCAAAGTGGTTCTTCAGACTTTCTAAAATTGTATCTTTGGACTTTGGCTGCTTGGTCAGTCCTTCGAGCTCCAAACCCTGATCCAAAAAGAAAAGAGCTCCCTGGAGGTGGTTTCCATTTCTTCTGTTAAATCGATGAAAAAGACCCAAAACCACACGGTTAGACTCAGAAAACAAGCCGGGAATTAACTGCTGTCTATTTACCGACTTGTGTAAGTTTGTTAAAAACAAACTGTATGAAGCCAGGGACTGAGAGAAGAGCAGCCAAAGTCCAAAGGGACTTTGAAAACCCTTCAGGTCTGCAGAACTCTGGCTGCCCGCGAGGAAAACCTGCAGAACGTAGGGGTGGATTAAAACTTTTGCACGTAGGCATGTGCCAACAAACGGAGGTCGGACATTGTGCTGATGATGGTGATGGAAAACAGACCGAGCTGATTACCCATAATGCACAGCGACTGGGGGTGAACGTCTGTTGGAGTAATGAGTGTTTTTTCTTGACGGGTCACTTTACGGGTGAACCTTCTTCCACACGCTGAGCCCCCTGACCCAAATGAGACGCAGCCGGGTCAGGAGCTGGATCCAGTCCCCCCAGTTTCTCAGTTCAGCCGTGTGTCTGAGACCCGGAGGGGGCGGTCTGGTGGCATCAAGCGGTTGGCGTCGTGGTGCCGTGCCTCGCGGCGTGTTTCTGGAAGGCCTTCTTAGTGAAGAAGGACTTGTGGCAGACTTCACAGCTGAACCGCTTCTCTTTGGCCGGCGTGTGGGCGGGGCTGAGCGCCGCCGACGTTTGAGCTCCGTCCTGCTTCCTGTCGGGGTGGGTCAGCAGGTGGAGTTTCAGCCTAATGTCAGAAGAAAAGGACCTGTGGCACAAGGTGCACTTGAATTCGCCCTTGTGGGTTTGAACGTGTTTGTTCAGCACCGACTTGGCCGCGAAGGTTTTGTGGCACGTTGGACATTTGTAAGGTCTCTTCCCTTCGTGCAGATTCATGTGACCCCTGAAGCTACTGAGGGTGAGGAAGGACTTGCCGCAGATGGTGCAGTTGTGGGTCTTCTGGTGGGCCTGAAGGTGACGCCGCAGCTCGTCTGTGGACTCGGAGCGCTCCCCACACACGCCACAGAGCATGCCTTGTTCATTCACATGAGTCCACGCGTGTTTGAGCAGCATGTTCTCTGACCCTCGTAAACTGCTGCACACCTTGCAAGGTACCAGAGGGATGTTGATGATGGCCGGAGAAGGCTCAGACGTTTGGCTGTTTGGGAGAACTGAAGGCTGGACCGGTTCCTTCAGCCTGAGGGGTTCAGGGTTTCTGCTGTACTGCAGAGCCAGGACGCCGCCGCTCGCCTCGTGGTTCTGCGGCGCTTTGTTCTCCAACAGGAAGCTTGAAGACGCGGCACGTTGCTCATCCTCCACAGGTTCAGGGTTTCTGTTTTGATCCGAGTCATTATTGGACGTCTGCAGCAGAGTCAAGAGTAGGGGAGGACTGCCGTCCTCGGCGTCCATCGTGTCTTTGCTCTCCGTCTGCCTCTCTGTTGAAGGTTTGACACTTTGTCCCGTCGTCTTCGCAGGTTCAGGGTTTCTGCTTTGCTTCTCTCTGTTAGACCTCGGTGGCTGTTGAGGCAAGTGTTTGGTAGAGACTGCGTTGCCATCATCGTCGCAGTCCTCGCTGTCCTCCGTCTCCTCGTCTTCTAAACTTCTATTTGTGACCACCTCTGAAGGTTGGACATGTTGCTCCTCAGTCGCCTTCTTGGGTTCTGGGCTATAGCTTTGCAGTTTTGTGGTGGGTTGAGGCAACAAGGGTGGCATGGACCAGAGACGGGAAGGCTCGGGCTTATCGTACTCGCTGTCCTCGCTGTCCTCGGTTTCATCTTCGTCCAACAGGCTGTTTGCTCCTACATCTGGACGTTGGACACTTTGTTCCTTCATCTTCTGTGAACTGGGATGTGGGAGTTGAGGCTGCAGAGTGGAGGGCTCGGCAGAGACGGCCTCGGTGTCGTGGTCCATGTCCAGGCTGTCGTCCGTTTCATCCTCTCTGCGAAGTGACTTTGATTTCCTGGACAGAACTCTTGTCTTTCTTTTTCTCTGTTGACGACATTCACTGTGGGAGACACGGAGACGACAGGAGCGTTACACAGAAACATGAAACCAGCGCTTCTTGAAACAACCATTATTGCCTGACCTGCGTGCGAAAGTTTTAAACAAAACCGTACCCCTCAGAGCACGGGCGTCAGAAGCAATTGTAATGTGTGTGTGGGGGGGGTGGGGGTGGGGGGTGGGGGGTCCTCCCCCATCAAATTTTGAATAAAGTAGATGCCACTTCCTGCATCCTGGTGTATTTTAACAGGTTGTTAAACATGTATGTTTATCTTTATAAGGAAACACTTGATTCAATATTTTAGAGGACACAATATGAAGCTTTGACCTTTGACCTTTGACACAAAGTTCAAATATCAGGTTTGTTTGGAAGTAAAACAAGAGAACGCATACGGCACATTATACAGCAATCTATAGCAATGGCCAGGACAAGCAAAGACCTTGTATAACATTTGACCTTGATGTGTGACCTTGATGTTGGAGCTGTGGTGCACGTGTTCAAAGTCACTGACCTTGTTGGAGGCTTGGTCTGATCGTTTGAATGAGCCGTCGCTGCATCGTCCTGGACGTTCTCCTGTCCCTGAAAGAGTTGAGTACCCAAATGAAAAATGTGAGCGTAAACCGTGCACAGTTTTCTGCTGGCGTCTAGAAAACAAAGTGCCGGACCTTCAGTCGGATGTAGAGGACAGTCCCAGTGAAGGACCTGATGATGAATTTGATCTTCTGGGGAGTTGGATTCTGTACTTGTAAAGGTTTCAGTTTGTTGCCGTGACAGATGAGAAAATCAAAATCTTTGCCGACCAGCAAAGGAAACAAGGACCGAACTGAGTCCAGGAACTGGGTCTCCTGCTGGTACATGGGAAACTGGACATCGTGGATGGAGTATTTCTGAAACACTGAGAGACACAAACCCTCAGACACAGACTTTCATGTAACGGTCTAATGTCACTAAAACAGAAGTCTTCAGAAAAAAGTATGTCATCAGAAACCTGTAAAGTTAAAACGCCTGCAGATTTAAAAAAGTCACTTTCCATCAACGATTGGAGCGGTCACAACAAGAAGAGCCCCAAACAAACCTGGCAACAAAGGTGGTGTGGACTGCACCTATACAGCTCCTTTCTATCTGATCAACATACTCAAAGCTCTTTACAACACAATCATTGACCTCCACACACACATTCATACACGATGGGATGCACATCGGAGGCAGTGAGGGGTTCAGTGTGTTGCCCAGGGACACTTCAGCATGTGCCTGCTGCTGGAATCAAACCCCCAACTCTCCCATTGGAGGACGACTGCTCTAACCACTGAGCCACAGCCGCCCCTGTTTGTACAAAAACGCCAACAAACGACCGCAGACAGGAACCTCAGGTCCCGTCCTACGAACACCAACTGGACAGCAGAGGAGTTCCTACACGGTGGGACTGATGGACTGGACCATACTGATACCAGCCTCAAGTACTTGTACTCACAGAAACAGCTGATACCAGC